CCACCAGGGAGGGTTCTGCAGGAGAGAGAGACAGTCTCCTCTCGGGCAGTTTACAGCCTCCTGAGAAACCCACTCAGGACAGCTACTTTTACGGGTTCCTTGTTATAGTAATTGACCAAAAATTGCTTCTGTTGATTGAGTCATAGCTTCATTTTCATTTTAAAAACTTGGGGTTTTTGCAATTGTTTCTAAAAGTCTTTCAGACTCATCTTCTCTAAGTTCTAAATGTGACTTTGCATTTTAAAGTTACAGACACATCCACCTGCACTTTGTTTTAAATTATGATTTATATCAAAATTTTCCAAGAAAGTGCGTTTTCATTCCATCGTTCATCCAGATTTTTCTCTCCTCTCCTCTACCTTAAATCCATAATGCATAATCCATGCTCTGTTCTGGATTGTTAGTTGTAGTGTATCTAATGCCCGTTCCTTTCAGATTGAACTTCCTTTTTACCTATTCTGATGCAGTATTCATTATCTATCCGTTCTTTTCTTGCTCTCTCTGCCATCCTCCCACCCCTAAACTCCTATTTGTATAACAGTGAGATATAGAATATTCTCTAAGTTAATAGAGTATTTGTCCCTTTGTGACTAAATTGTTACACTCAGTATTATGTCCTCAAGACTCATCCATGTTGTGTAGGTTTGACAAATTCTTCATAGTTTTTTAATGCTGTGTTCCATTGTGTGAATGTACCTGTTTTCTATCCATTGCTTTGTTCGTGGTACCTGGGCTGCTTCTATCTCTTTGCTATTGTGAATAATGCTGCAATAAATATGGGTGTACAGACATGTAACTTTAAGAATAGTTTGTCATTTCAAAGCTTTCTTAGTCAAAGTGGCCAAATGGATCTCATGTTCTGTGTGTGTATGTGTGTGTATGGATGGATATATTGATAGATAGATAGATAGATAGATAGATAGATAGATAGATAGATAGAAAGTTTGTTGTGTTCTTTTTTTTTCTTAAGAAAAGCAAGAATATCATTGATTATGTAGTATGAATGTTATATGGTAAGAGAGCTCTGGTGTCTTAGTGGCAAGAAGCTACACCACAATCCTAAGGTGTGTGATTTGAATCCACCAGATACTCTGTTGTTGAAGTATTGGGCACTCTCTTCCTTTGCCAATCGAATCCAACTTGATGGCGCACAACAAGGGGAAAAAATTGGGTTGTTTTGTTTTTATGTCTTAATATTGTTTAAGTGCATAATCATTAAATATTTAATATTCCAGAGGAATCCAGTTCTATTGAAATGCAATTATCAAAATGTTTAAGTGTTATAGTAATATGTAGTTCTCTTTTAACATGTAAATAAAACATTGCTGTGCAACTACAGTAACATTAGTAATTGTGAGCAGTCATGTAAATGTTTTGAAATACAGTAATTTTTTTCTTGGTGACCAAAGTCACCAATAATTCATAATACAATATGAATTACTGTCTGTCTTTATAATTGGGAAAAAATGCTAAATTTCTTTCAAGTCAAGTACAAACAACATGGGATTTTTTTTCCTCACCCAAATGCATTGGTTTCTTGAATCCTGTCCATCACCACCATCATGTGTTAAGAATCCCTCCTGAATAAACACAGACCAGGCACATTAGCAGTCATTAGAGTATGACATAGCATTGTCTCGGGAGCTTTCAAATGAATTTTTCAAGGTGGCATCTTGTAGATTAGTTGGAATGTAGTTGTATTAATTGTTGTTGTTATGTGCCGTCGAGTCGTTTCCGACTCATAGCGACCCTATGCACAGCAGCCCTAAACCCTGCTCTATCCTGCGCCAACCGCACTGACTCTGACAGACACACCCATCCCGATTACCCCAGTCACTGAATCAATCCATCTCATAGAGGGTCTTCCCCTCCTGCGCTGTCCCTCCACCCTCCCAAGCATGA